ATTTATTTTTTATTTCAACAAATCTCTCACTAAAAAATAAATGTAGGTATTTTGAAAAGCACTAATTTAAGTTTTAAGGTTTTTAGAATCCCAAGTGCCCCACTGATCTCCTCCAATGAAAAGTTCAAAAATTAAAAAAAAAATAACAAAAATTTCTAGGGTTAAAAAATAAAAAAATATATATTTTCTTAAAATATGGTTAAAGTACACTTAATTAGAATTTTAACTGTGCAGGTTTCATGTCTATACCACTATCGATGGTTAAATTACAGAGTCGGGAACATGAGGTGTTTTTAGATAATAGACCTACCTAGGTCCAAAAAAAAAAATTTTAATTTGTTATTAAGGATCTATAAAGAATGTATGATAAAAATTTTAAAAATTTTTGAAGTATAGTCGCACACCCATCAGGTGATTTCACGTGGAATGACCCATACAATGTTTTATACGAATTAATAGCTAGAATGGTAGTCAGAAATTACGTAACGAGAAAACGATGAAATCGAATTTTAAAAAATTATTTTTCCCTTGAAAGAAGAACACTTCCTATAGTCAGTCCCTGATTATTGTTCAACTATCAAAAATGACACGTAACTATGGTTGAAAAAACCTAATGGTTGCAACTTCTCGTGTCATATTATTAGCAAACATACATAGAACATGTTTGACCAAGCTTTTTTAAACATTAAGCAGTGATTTCTGTCCCTAGCCCCTCCCTAAATGTCTAATAATCGTCTCATCTTTTTAAGTATTTAGAATAAACTTGATCATTTTAAACACTGATAAATTAAACCGTCCAGATGTAACGTATCTGCTTTCTGCTGTACTAATCGATAAACGTACAAACCAACTGTGTTTTTATTTTCCCTATTAAAAAATTAATACCATATACGGACCAAATAGTGTAGTGTTACATAGAATAAACTTGTAAGGCCACCCGAGGATTCTTTGTACGGTATAACGTTATAACCGCTATGTACAATCTTAATTCAGTGAAAGTTTACACGATTAAAAGTTTTTTTTTTTCTAGTCCGAGCAATACTAAATATTACTAAGTATATATTAGATGCTGTGTGATTCCGTGCACGGGTGCGTTTGGCGGGTAATAAAACATAACGAATATTGACTCTATACACGAGTCCTATGACCCGGCGATAGTGGCGAGTTGCATAACCACTTAGGTCGCCGCGGGCGCAATCGTTGTGTACTTGATATTCGATTGCAGTTGGATTATTATTGGTGTAGTGTTTGGAAAACGGTTAAGGCCGCGGACGGTGTTGCGGGGGAGTAGAATAATATTATATTATTATTATACCTATCCAACGTGTAATATTAATCACGCGACCGACGAAAAAAAAAGAAAACGTATCGACCGCGCTAATGATCGATTGTCAATACCATCGAGGCCTCGGGTCAGCGTACAGCGCCCGGCTAGTATAACAAACGAGTCGCAAGACCAGAGCAACGATTAAATGGGCAAAACACACATGGAACACGGTTATTAGCGTAAGGCGCGGGTGGATGTCAATCGAAGAAACGGGTCAAATGAATATTAATGTGTACTCGGTGGTACAAACGAGCGGTTGGCGACGGCTAACGCGTCAGTTTTTTCTCAATCGGTAATGATTTCACAACGTCTTTCGCTGTGACCATCGGCCGGTGTAAAACTTACTCTGGGTCTGCCCAGAGGATTGGAGACTTTAATATTGAAAATGCTTTTGGAGTTGATAAAGGTCGCGTCGATTACCGCGAAGATATTGATATCAAACGGTCCGGCGTATTGTTCGGACACGCCAAACCCGTTTGCCGTTACAAAAGCCGACTTGTGCAATATAGACCTGAGAATAAAAGAAAAGCTGCTATCCTACTTAAAGTGTAGTTTGTCTGTATAGTTTGACCAAGATAACCACAAGACGGACAAACTTAGTGGGAAACGCAGGAAGGCCCACCAAGCAGCAATCCGCATCTTTACTTTTGGCGAACGCCTTAGCCAAACCCAATTTAATGTTTTCAGGATCTGGAAGATCTAAACGTATAGTGTTTACCGCAAAACTTAATTTAAATGTATTGCATTTGTTTTTATTAAATATATTTTTGGCTGAAGAAATCCTGAATAATCTTAGAGATGATTGAAGAAAACTATTATTTCTTAAACGTTATTGACTGGGAAACGTTCATTTTGATGGGAGTAAGTTAGGAAATATTTATAATGTGAATGAGTAAAATAAATGTATTACTTTGAAAATGTTTAGTTGTCCAGATCAAAAATGTAATTAAAAAAAAATAAAAAGTCAATGCAGTGGCGTCAGGGCATAGTGATAACGGAGCTTAATGGGCAGAATAAATATATATTATTATTACATTATTTCATCGTATAATACTAGTTAATGAACGTTTATATATATATATATATATATATATGTATTATATTGTAGGCTGGCCCTGACGTTCGTCGTAAGATAATCAAGAACATGAAATATTTGTATTATGCTCTAATAACATTGTCAACATGTACAATCATAACGTTTTGACATTGGATAATGAAATGCACATCCGAATACGTCAATGGATTTGCACAATGTTGTGTAAGTATAATAAAAATTACATTGCGCTGTCAGACTATCCACTTCCTCTTTATAATATTATGACTGATCTAATCGCCGATTTTTCAATGGCATAATCTTATTTAGTTATTTATAAAAAAAAATACGGTCAGTGGTTATCTAATGACAATATGCAATTCGGAAAATGAAACATCCTTTGTAATTCATAATAATAATTGTATTGAAACCAAACAATAAGGACAATACTTAATGGTATTATAGATGCAATATCATATCAAAAATCTAGTAAAAAGAAGTCTAGTAAAAATCCGGCGATTATAAACTGCGCCCAAGGCACAAGTAAACACAAAATCATATATGTGAACTGCGCCCGAGTTCTTATCAAGTGGGAAAAGGTGACATGTAAACTGCGCCCGAGTTCCTATGAAAATAGTTATGTATATTTTTTTGTATTATAAATCAAATAAGCATAATTTTAAAAAAAGGACAACATAAAACAAATATGATGAAAGAAAATACGGGAATTGATAATTTTACTTGTAGAACCTTGTTAAACAAAACAAAACTGACTTTAACTTTTCTCATACATGGGTCATATATCCCAGTTTAGAATATATTTCTTGAACGAGTCCTTTTGGAAGAAACGAAGCTGGGAAACAATTCACTGTTACAGGAATACATTTTCTTTGAAATACATAGTTTTTTTTTTAAATTCTTATTAAAATAATTATTTATATTTTGATGAGTTTTCTCAGTTGATAACAGCTGTTTTTAGGAAAAATGTACAACACTGAAAATAACATTAGTTTTTATTGTATTTCATATGGCCTCGAGTATTGTTGCTTTTTTAAGAGTTAATGGAAATAATTATATACCGTTTTCAATTTTGTGTACGTAATTCTTTTGTATTTTCTGGAATGCCTAAGTTACAGAAACATGTTTATAATATTCATTAGTATAGTATATTTAAAAGCTGGAATTTTCTATTTTATCTTAAAGGAACGAATATAGAAAACAGTTTATTTTAGAAACGAGGATTCCAAACTAGTTTCTTCCTTTGAAAATGAACGAGGAACTGAAGAGTTTTACATTTTGTGAAAGGTTTTAACATGTTCGATATTCAATATTCAACTCCGGTCGGTACGACCAACACAAACGAATGTAAATACTCTTTAAGTCGAGAGAGCGTTTAGGCGTAGTCAAATTACACACGCAGGTACCTTATAAGCAGATGAATGGGACTAGTATAAAGCTAGTTAAGAACGCGACCTAGTCGTTATGTGTGTTGTGAATCAATGTTGTCATTAATGATTGACCAAATCGGTAATCGAGTTCATGGGTCACGGGGTTCTGTTGTACACATTTAGTCGAGTACTAAAAAATATGGACGGCGTGATAAATGCATTTTTGCCAGTGTATGTGTATGTTCAGCAAAAAAACGACCATTGATACCGTCGTTAAAGTTCTTTTCATTTCACATGAGTAAACTGTAAATTTAAATCGTTTAATTATCGCCGCTTTCGACTGGTTTTCTTTATACCGTAACCAAACGCCGAAGTACTATAGTTAGTATAACACCATTAGAATATGTGTTAAGTATGCTTCGAGTGAATCGTTTGGGAAAATATTAAAGTGGCACACAAACGTGTTGATATAGGTATTTCAGCAACACTAATCTAGTTTGTATTCTGATTTTTCCGAATTTATACATTGTCATTACACAATACCTGTTATGTGGGTATTATTTTCGCAGTGAATCCTGAACCGATGAGAAATTGAATTTAAATGTTATGGCCTAAATAGAAAATCAATTTTCAAATAGGTATACATATTATTATGTTTGTATCAAATATTTTTTTCCAGACATTTGTTTCTGTATGATATTAGTTGATTTCATATAGATTGAGTTAGTACCTGAATATGAAAGTGGTAGAACAGAAATACAATAAAGAAAAAAGAGTGAAAAGGTAATATTATGTACAGGGAGTATGATAATAGAGTTTAATGTGACATTGTTCAAATTGCTATTACTTATTAGCTGATCATGTTACAATGTAATACAATGTGTTGAATATGGTTAAATTCGAACATTATAGACGGTGGCATTGAAAGCTTTTTCAATAGACCTTAATGCCAATGATCACATATCGAAATTTAACATTTTTTTATTGATTCACGGATCATTAATTTATTGCATATTTTACATTTTCTGTGGTAATAAATTAAATAACAATACTGATACTGATATTTTTCCACGATAACCATTTTTCGGCGGACATTGATACTGCAAAAAAAAAAACGCAGCAATACTTTCTGATGACGATCTATGTTATTAAAAATACCATAAACCCTGATAAACCAGTTCATTATTGCTATCGATAAATTTGCGTTATAATGCTTACTATACGTTCGTTTTATTTTCGATAAAGTTGTAAAAGTAACAAGTCATCTGGAAACCGACTTTCCATTATTCGTCGCACATTGAGTTTGTGTAGTCATCAATATGTTTTTAAAAATTACTATAGTACTAATTTTTGGAGTAATAACAACAACAGCAGTTATAAAAGCAGGGAAATATTATCCGAATTTGCCATTTGTAATAACATACAGAATGTGTATAATTTTTATAAGTGGTTTTGTTATATTTTTATTAATCATTTTCTATTTACTTTTTCAGGGAGAGTACAAAATACGATTTAAAGCGGTTTTTCCGTGTGAGCCTACTACACACCATAAGCTACAGTATAATTTGTATTTTAGTAGAAAAAGCATTTCTGTACTCGAGTTAAAGGGCAACATGACCTATTTAGTTCCATTTGACGATACAGTTAAAGTAAGTAAACGACTTTTACAATGTTTAAGTTTAATGCATATTTCTTAATAAACAAATTAAATTAATACTACAGTAAATTATGTACACATATAAATTATATAATAAAAAAAAGATTTATCATTAAAAATATGTTCTTGTGTAGTATGCATGAAACATTTTATGCAAGGCCAATTTCTATTTTTGTGGGTGTTCTGTTAGATTTTAATCATGCATTTTATGTTACAACTTACAAACTAAAATTAGGTATAATATGAAACGATTTGTAATTTACCACTTTAGTTTAAATAAATAAAATGTATAGCCTTCAATCTATAGTCAAAGGTCTTGAAAACCATTTATAACTTTTTTTTAGAAATTGTATAAATGTTTAAAATTTTAAAAATAGAATTGTAAAATAACATAAACAAATGAATACCTACTACCTATTCATACTTTTATTCTGTCATATTATATTTACTGAATAATCGAAGATCAACTAGATAATAATAATTTACATAAAAATATATTATTTACTGTTAAGTTATAAGAAATAAACAAAAATTTTCATAAAAAAAAAATAATAATAAATTTATTCACTGGCGTAATTCAACAATGGTTGAAATCCTTGTTTTTATAACGTTTTTATGAACTCACAATCTTTGATTATTTTAAAAATATGTATAATTTTTTTAGAAATTAAATTCTTGTTCCAACTTAATCGCAAATAACTTTAAGTTTCAATAATTACATGAGTTTTGACTAGGAGTCCATCCAAAATATACGTTGGCGGTAGTGGCATCGATAGTACGATAACATTGATAGTGATATAATATATAAAAGAGAGGGTAGAAACATTTATAAACCTTAAAAAAAGAAGAATCAGCGATCATAAGATACATTCATGATCTCATACCTATCGTTCAAAGAAAATATTGATTTTTTTTGTACATAGGAGTATCAAATATATTTTGTAAGAAGTCTTTTTTAATCAAAATTGAATTTAAGAATAATTCGCTAAAAAAAAAAGGCGTGAACAGGAACTAAATTTTATTTATAGATACTACCATTGATTTTAGAATATAGAATATAGGATAATTCTAAAATCAATAATGCTACTAAAATTATAAACTATTTATAAATAAAAATAACACCTACTACACGTCTTCTTTACTTACTCCTTTTTAATGCTAACGTTATTATAACATAATTGTTTAAAAGTTCTCATTCTATAAGTCACTAGTACGCACAACTATGTATCTATTAAACGTTATCAATACTGATTCACATGGTTAGAAAAAATACACGTACTGAAATATTGGTAACAAAACTAATGATATTGAATAATCCAATAACGACACAGACATATTCAGTTTTGCCTTGAAATACAATATGTGCAGTTATAATGCATTGTTTGCTGAGATCGAACAGGTCTCATACTAAGAGTTAAAATTATAGTCCTAAGCAAGTCAAAACTAAGCTCATTGTACAGAAAATTCAAAACGTTGTGAGTACTAACCTTCAACGACAGAAATTTAAAAAAAAAAGACTACTATAATATTATATTGAATTATATTTAAAAATAAGGCAATTGTCTTAAACTCCCCCTGGAACCGTGTCTGGTCAATAAATGTTCATAAAACAATTTGACGTAGGTGAAAATCAATATGGCTGCAAGAGGATCAATGGGTGGCTGGAATGAAAACGCGCACGTTTTCACAACGACCGATGCTTGTGGAAAGATGAAGTTTTTGATGGGAAACGCATGGAACGTTTTCGTTGAAGAGCTACATTTCAAGTCTCTGGATTGTCCAAACGTCCCGGTAATAATAAACAAAATTATATAGATAAAAAAAACTACAGACTACTTAAAAAAGAGTTTAATTTTGGTTAAACATTTTAGTCTATGATTCAGGTTTTGTATTAAAAAATAAATAACTTTCCTTGATTTTTTAATCAAATTTTATAAAATATTTATAGGGTGTATATTCAACAACCGGATTCAGCGTGGACAAATTGTTGGAAACTAATTTCCCAAAGACATTTTTTTACGGAGAATATAAAATGTTGTTTAACTTTACAAGTAAAGTAAACGAACATCTCGGCTGTGTCATTTTTATGGTAGACATCTTACGTCCGTGGGAATCATATTAAACATTTCGATGTCTAAAGTATACGATTTTGCATTTAAAAAAAATATAAATTTGTTCACACTAATTTAACCATTTTAATATAATATATTCACGTTATGGGTAATATTTGTTCTTTTTGATCTTCTTATTCTAAAGAAGTATAATTAAATAGCCGATGCCAATTATCTATCCTTGCTTATCCTTAAAATAAATACACTTAATAAGCCTAATTAGAAAACGTGCACTTTAATCATTTAATGGAAACTAAATATTTCAATCATTATTCATTATTGTATCATTTTTACAAAATAAATACCGCACTACCACATTCGTGCACAACGTTTTATTTCTTATTAAAAATTCAATATAAAACGTATCTTTCCTATGTTAAATTTAATTAAATTCTTGTAAATGTTTATTCGATGTTTTTTTTTATAAATTGATTGGTCAATCTCTCTGAGTTGTTTAATATTAAATTTCTTTTAAGGATTTTTTTAATTCAATACAGGAAATTAAATTAAATTTATCGATAGAAAAAACATTTTAAGTAATATAAAATAAATCCACTGTTAAAAATGTGTAAAATTTCAAATCTTTAGTCATGAAGAAATAATTAAATTTAACTGATTTTTTTTTTTTTTTTTGGTACTCCAGTTTGAATAAATTGCAATTTATTTTAATATGTTAAATTTCCAAATCCATTAATTAATAAACATCCTTTTCTTTTAAATAATGTACAATATTATTATATTATCTTATTATTATATTATATTATCATTATCATTATTTTACCGAAATTTGATAAAACAAAATCATGTATCAGTTTTATTTTCCAATCCTTTTTGTCGTTATAAATCTTAACGAATTTTAAATGGTATTTCACAACAAACTGGTGAAATATTATTTCTATAGTATGTTGGATCAACATAAAATGCTCTTCTCGCTAAAAATTCTTTTAATTTTTAACATTCTTGATTATATTAAGATATTCCATTAATTCTCGACTAATTGATTACATGATGGTTTATTTGAAAATTAGTTTACTTTTTTATGTCAAATAAAATGTAAGTTCGAAAATCCTGCACCGTTTACATTCCGGAGAGGTTTTAAAAATAACGGGGACTCTTCAAAGAGACAAGCTCTAGCCGTAATAATAACCGTTGCTCTCGTGAAACTGTCATTTGTCCGGATCTAGTCAAAAGAAGGATTTCATTTTTTATTCTCCGTTCCAAAACACCGCAGCAAAGGCTTTTAGCACATTCCAAACTAATGAATATTTCATTGTGCTCGACAAGCGAGCATTATTTTCAACACGTATCGAATTCGCGTGACCATTATAGTATACAAAAATAAATGCAAATATTCTGGCGCTATAACGCCGAATTTAATAGGATCAAGAGTAGTTTTTGTCAAAAATACTCACGATTTTTGGTTTTGTAAAGCGACGTCGGTTATATCCACCGCAACCACCGGCGACTACGTGATAAGGATTTATGATTGTCGAGTAAAAGCGTCAAGTTTTCAGCGGGGGACTCGCTAATATATCACACTTTCCGTATAATAATTATTCAAACGACGTTTGCACTTAATATTTTTTTCCACCCCTTTCTGGGCTTAGCAAACGCGGTTCCATTGCTCTCTGGTTCGCTTTTAATACATCATATTACTGTGCACTATTTGTTTATTATACATATAATAATAATATAACAACGTATACGATGGCGATTGCGCTGGCGTTTTTAAATACAACCGTCTAGAGCAATTAACAATACTGTTAACGGACCCATTAAGGTCCGGTGTGGGTAAGACCGGCAGACAGATGTCTGCAGATATTATAATATAATACTATGTAATAAAAACCAGACCGAACGAATTACGCCGACCGCGTCTTGGGTAAAGCGCTGCGAAAAAATATTGTTGTTTCGCCTATGCGGTAAAAAAATAAACAGTGAACACACTCCACGGCCAATGAGCCAACATTGTGTACTCAACAAGGTCTGTTATCTAGAAAATCTAGAAAACTTTTCACCACTAAAAAATCACTTTTAAAAAAAAAAAACATGTTCCAAGAATATGTTATAAAACTCGTGCTTGTTATTTTATTTGTTTTACAACTGAACTTTCAGGTAAACGCTACACTGTTAAACTGTATATAAAATTCATATAAAACAAGTCTGATAAACACACTAAATACACAAAATTATAGAATTCTAGTACCGCGTATAATGTCAACAGTATACACACAAATATATTTAAATGGTGAGTGACTTGCCGAGTTAAAAATAAAAACTTACACTAACGAGTCGAAAAAAAGACTTTTTAACACATCTGCAGTAAATGGCAGCCGTTATATCAGCCGAGTTGCTCAGCAAATTACCATATCATTAAAACGTTATCGTTCAAGTTGAGTTTTTTGTTTGTTATATTATAGTCGAGTGAGTGATCGTATATCCATCAAAATGTCTAAACGCATTTCTTGTTAAGTAAAACATATTATAATAACTTATTGGAAATTGATGACTCATCCTAACATCCGTCACGCGTTTTATACAAAATTGTAAAGATGTTGTATAAAAAAAAATGACATTTTAAGTATCCACTTTTTATAAATCTACAAAAATAGCAGCTACTTAATATACCTTTTTTTTAATGTACCTGTCTTGGAAATATCTATCTCGTTAAGCGTTGTCTGACATCATCTATCCCACCAGTTTAAGTAAGTTGAAAATATTGATCTCAATCAGCAATTATTACTATTGAAGTAACATTTTAAAATGCTAAGAACCGCTTGGCACTCAATTTGATTTTTGAAATGTCACCAATGAAGCCTTATCAAGTATTAAAAAACGATGGGTTTTTTTTATTATGTATCCAGTCCGTCTGTAGATATGTTTACAATAAATTGTCTGCGAGGACAAAGTGCATTTTTTATACCACTCGCTCGCCCCAGACCGGTGTGAATACTTTTTTCATCACATGTTAAAACGTAATATATGCTTGTTCGCGGATTAAATAGCTGGTAAATAATTAATCGGCAATAATATAAAGTTGTCGATAGAGTTAAATTTGTTAAATTAAAAAAAAAAAACCGAATAATTGAAAACTGTAGGTAGATATCGTGTTACAGCGGCCGTGCCCACCTATGTGCTTGTATCATATACGTGTACACGTATAGATGATACTTATATGAGAATGGCGATGGTTTTATTTGTCCGTGAAAATCGTTCGCAAATCGAAAACGCCGATAATAACAATAAAAACGCACTACAACGCAAACACACTGTAGACACACAGGTTATATAGTATAAATTGTTGTTTGTAGCAACATAAGCTCATCGATTGTTATTTTTATACAGCTCCAGTCATTCCGCGAACCATGAGAGCGAATTTATAGTAATAATAACAATATTGTCATTGGAGTCAATTGAATTTTGATTTTGACATAGTCCAAGAAGCATAGAACATGCAGCCGGAGGGAGAAAACAAAACAAAGTTAGCGGTTCAATATATTTTGTTATTTAATAAAGTGGGGCTTAGACCCCATTTTAAACATAACACATTTGATTTAAGTTAATTTGCATAAATTGTTTGTATCCCCAAAGAAATTTAAAAAAAAACCTAATTGTATTTCGTCATATTTTCAATGATTTTACATCAGTTTACTACAACTTTTTATGGATTATTATTAATATGTTTACCGTTAATTTTACAAGGGCCAATTTTTAAATATTAAAAATAATTAATATATAATAATTTCTGGGTTAGTCATGGAAAGTTACGGATTAACGGATGTAAATAACTTAAAAGTACAGTGCCAAAATTTGTATAAAACTATATGGGGAGTAAATTGAAAATTATTGTTCTTTCAATGTGTTCTTATGAGTGCGGTAAGACGTTCGTTTACCTCTTCACAGTTCTATTATTTAGAAGCTACTTAAACTGGGACCACCGGCATTACCCATGCAGCTAACGTGTTCAGAAGAAAAATCTTGTTAACTTAATGTCAAATAAGTATAATGGTAAATAAAAAATCATTGTGGTATTATGAGAAGTGTGTGCTGCTGACAAAATAGTTTCTATAATAGTATAAATGCATGCGTATTTATCGTAGTTGTTACACACTAGGTATATGAAGTAAATCGAGAAACGAATAAAAATACTACTATTCCAGTGAACAATATGTAGGAGTGACAAAAGGAAAGTTTTAAACATTTCCATCCACCCTTTAACCATTTCTTTATTTTTTTTTTATAAGGGGTCAGCTTTGAGAGACGACTTGTCACCTGTTTCGAACACATGACATTCTTGTTTATTTCGTTCCTCGACACCCTTGTGGTTCTGTGGAATGAAAAAGTGAGTGCAGACATACAAAATGGTCTGCCCGACAGTGGAAACTAATTTTTCTTGCATCCCAGTTAAAACATATATTGGTGATCGGTCCCTGGTGGGCCAAGTCGATTTGTTATAGCCTTTTTTTGTTTTTCATTTGCGTTTGGACTATATTTTTATTATAATATGTAAACACTATTACTATTTTATGGATATACTAAACCGATATAGTAATTTTAACAATTTTATTATTGTATGGTCAACTATTATACATCAACGCCATTTGTACCTGTTAAAATAGAAATTATTTATTTGATTACCATTACAAATAATAATTATTTTATCAAATTGTAATAAATTAAAGCGTTCATGGAACATTTTTGAAATATAATAGTACCTAAAATAATATAGCCATTACAACTATATTAAACATCCGATGTTATTACATAGTTTTTCGAGTAACCCGTTAGATAGCTGATAGATGTATTTTGGCAAGTTATGCATAATGTATTCCACATTAAATGACCAATAAACCACTACATCAATATTTTAAGAGTATAATTTATAAATCAGTGCTAATCAGTGTAAATATTGCATATAAATATAATGTAATAAATGGTACGTTAATCCTATTAAATTGTGTTTGTTTGCCTTTCATGCTCAACTCATATGGTAGTTTTTATACATCAGTTGGAACACAGCATACAAACAAATGTTTAATGATTAAGTATAATAGATCTATT